GAAATTACGAATAGGAAATGGTCATGTGGTGATCCATAAATGAGCAGCGAATGTGGGAAAAAACCCTATTTTTGAAAAAGAGTAAAATAACTAAAAGAGAGAAGTAGAGAGAGAAAAGGAAGTGAGAGTAGAAGAAAGAAAGAGAAATGCTACCGTCCCTTGGGCAACTATTCCGTTATAGTTTGTAATCGTTAGATTATCATGTAATCGTTGGGAATAGGTGATCCAACGATTACAAACCCGACGGAATGGTCTCGTAACGAGACCGTAACATCTCCTAGAAAGTTGTATCTTAATTTTAAATTTGTATTGCTAGTTTGTATGAAAACATTGATGACAAGCTAAATAATTATTAAATTTAAAAATTACATGATATTTCTAATTAATTATATATATATATATATAAGTAAGAAACTAAAAACATTTATTATATTTTCAACTTTATCTTTCCATTAAACAAATCTCGCAGTCGCAACAACAGATATAGAGTCTAAGGGTGTGTTTGTATATAAAAAAAAAAACTCAATTCATATTCAAAATTTAACTCAACTTCACTATTTTTTAATATTATCAATATAATTAAATAATGTCATCCAATCATTCTTACACATCACATAAACTTTAATTTATTTTCATACGCTCACATAATTTAATGAACTATCACATCACATCATCTTCCACATATTTTTATATGAAATAAATTTTAATTATTTTATGTCAAATACCATTTTAATATAAATAAAAATCTCACTAACAACTAGTTATTCAACTTTTTTTAAAAAAAAATTAAGTATGATTAATAAAAAAACTCATTTTGAGCGGATACATTTATATACAAACATGCCCTTAACTCTCTAAGAATAATTTCACTAACCTTCTTTAGGTTAAGGGAAATTGATAAACTCATTTTTTTTAAGTGATCATTCAAGTGATATAGACTGTTATCTGTCATTGTTGCAGACTAATATGCTTCGTGATCATATTTAAGAAATTTTCATGCTTAGTCATTTTGTTTCGATGGATTTTAATTTTATCTTAATTCAAAAATAATTATGTCAGGAATAATCATAACTATACTATATATTTACGGTCATTTTTAAGATTATTAATTATATTACATTTCCTAGTCTATACGTGATATATAAGACATTAATTTTTTCCTCAATCAGTTTCATATTTCCTTTAAAATTACGAAAAACTACTAACTTAGATTATAAGTATATTTGAAAAGTTTATAGTTTTTTTCAATTCAACTACAAAGTTGTTAAATGATATAATTGAAAAAATCTATAAATATATAATTTGGCAAGACAAGCATTTAATTTTATTGTGATGCATTAAATTTTATTCTCCCTCCAATTTTTTTAGCATTCAATTTCATTTTTAAGTTACAAATTAACTTGCTTGAATGCCATAAGTTATGAGCATAAATCAATTAAGGGAGTTACAAAATTGATTTAGCATAAAGAAAATGGTTGTAATGGCTCTTCTATTTTATTATTTCCTATTTGTTTGAGGGTACCGTTAAAATTTCGACGCAAAATTTTTTTTAACATGGTCTCCTATACTATGTCGATCATCAAGAGTCAAGATCAATCTCTCTCACACGTTCGTTTAGTCTTGAATGACCCTGTTTTCAGTAATAAACAATTAGACGTTGCTTTTCTGGAGTTACTAATGGAAAGTGTTTGAAAATAATGATATGTGGTGATGGTGATTCTGACGATAGAAAAACCATAAATATTGTATACAAATAATATGTTTAATAAAATTTAAAATCATTTTCTTAATTCATATTTTTCTCATGAAATGAACTATGGTTATGTATTTTTTTATATTATTATCTTTTCTAAGTATTTTTCTCCGTGCAAATGCACGGGTTGAGCACTAGAATGACTTATATTATTATCATGTCCTTCACATTATGTCACTTCCAAATTGCTTATTATAATTATTAATAAAATAATTATGATAATTATTCCCCGTAATTGAAAAATCCCCATCAGCAAAAGAATGACTTATAACAGTTGTTTATTCATATTTATTTTGCAAAAATTAATCCCAAAGATCAGACACATTATAATTCGAATTGTTTATATTAATTAAAATAAATTAATACTTAGCTAAATTATGATGGCCAGATAAATTTGTTTATAATCCCAATACTAACTCCTTCAAAACATGGATGAATTTCAATATATTCTTATTTTATGGAAAAACAAAACTGGCGGTGTTTATAAATTCTTCCATGTACAAGTTCAAAAATTTCAAGGATTTAAATAGTCCCAAGTTTGTTTTTTTCTTCTTAAAAAGGAGGATCTAAACTGGTTCCCCAATTCTCCTCCGAGTGACTCGAACTCGGGACATGGTACACGCCAAGTGAGGGTACAATACTCCCAAGTTTGTTAACCCAACTATGCTTATAGGTACTGTTTAATTTTTTGTCTTTATAAATAGCTATTACATTTTTCTTTGTTGTTTTAATAATATCAATCATTTATTTTTTTATTATTATTGTTGTTATTATTATTATTTTGAAGATATAATCGTTAGAATAGTCATGTACCAAAATGTGCAAACTACCATCTTCAAAAGGTGTTGACAAGAGATTTGTTGACGTACTCCTCCAAGGCTTCAATTTACTAATGAAGAATCATGTATTAAGTCATGGACAATTGTATGTGGCACGATCTAGAGTCATCAATCGGAGGAGTTTGGAGATAATAATTTGTGTTGATGGAGATTGTGACGATAGAAAAA